GTGGTAGTTGACACATGTTTGAATGGGGGCCATGTAAAGTCTTTATGTGGTAGTTGACACATGTTTGAATGGGGGCCATGTAAAGTCTTTATGTGGTAGTTGACACATGTTTGAATGGAGGCCACGTAAAGTCTTTGTGGTAGTTGACACATGTTTGAATGGGGGCCATGTAAAGTCTTTATGTGGTAGTTGACACATGTTTGAATGGAGGCCACGTAAAGTCTTTGTGTGGTAGTTGACACATATTTAAATGGGGGGGCATGTAAAGTCTTTATGTGGTAGTTGACACATGTTTGAATGGAGGCCACGTAAAGTCTTTATGTGGTAGTTGACACATGTTTGAATGGAGGCCACGTAAGGTCCTTGCTAAGAAGTGTGAAGTCAGGTCATGTTAGGAGCTTTAGTTTCAATGATTCTTGTGTTAATTTTTCCTATACATTTTCATACGTGTGTGTGTGTGTTGCTTAAATTAAGGAATTGGTGTTCAGGGTTATATTACACAACCAACACATTTTACCACTTCTAAGTGTTGATCATGTATATATATAATTTAATTATACCTGTCGTAGAATAATGTGTGGTTATTCAAGTTCCCAATTGTATACTTGCTAAAATAATACACTTTATGATGTTTGTTGTTTTTCTTGTACTTAGCAGAAAAAGAATCTATTTAATAGAAACCATTTTAAGTAGTTAATATAATGTTTGATATGAACTATAATTATTCCAGAAATAGAATTGTTGTTTTTCTTAAACTTACCTAGTCTGCTGTTCCTGTTCTAAATATGTATTTCTTTTGTTTCTTATACTTGAGCTGTCGTACAATTGAGGTTGCATCTTTCCTACCAAAGAGTTTTTAATTTTATGAAACTAAGTAAGTTATTATATTTCCACACTGTTTTTGCATGTTTGAGATTTATTTCAACAGCAGTGACACTGCAGCCTTAAGAAAGTTCTTATATAGGAGGGGCACAGATGAACGTTTTATTACATCATAGATAATGAATTAAAAGAAAAATTGGAAAGTAAAATAGTATTTTGGGGCTTTTAAGGCCATGTGGTAGTTATAGTTAGACTAGTATGTCCTGATCTTGTGAAAAAGTGAAATGAAGAATATTGTGGAAAGGTGCTCCACATTTTAGATACAGGTAGAAGAAAGTGCTGCCATCTTTTTGGGAATTAGCATAACGTTTATTTATCAGTATTCACTTATTGCATATTACACTTTTGAAATATGATTTATTACTAAATTTTCAAAGAAGTATACATTTATTGTCCTGGTTCTGTGATGACTGAACAAATGAAAAAAAATGGTAACTAAATAATTTGTTTAAAAGTGAAAAAAATAAGTTTTTAGAAGCTAAAAAAAGTCCAAAATTCCTTCTTGATTTATTGACATAAGAACTTTGTATAAATATGTATATTAATCATGAAACCTTCTGCCTTGTGAAAATAAGTTACAGATTTTGTCTGTGATTTGTCAATGACATTCCATATTCAGAAATCTTAGATGTGATCTGAAGCATTCCAGTTTTCTCTAGAACATTTTCTATGGATTTAGTCCATAGTTGTTACTTAAAGACAAATTTTGTAGTAACGGCATTGTTTTATAACCCAGAGTTCTTGTGTGGGGTATTTTCTGTGCATTATATAATATATTTTACTGTTCTGTGTTTATAATTATACCATTTTTAAAACATTCCACAGCTAATACTGTACTAAAACATTCCACGGCTAATACTGTACCAAAACATTCCACAGCTAATACTGTACCAAAACATTCCCATGTTGTATCTTTGTTGATTTATGAAGTCTGGAAATACAAACTGATTCAAAGACTTTTTATAAAACGTATGGGGTAATCTTGAAATATCATTGTTTGATGTTTATATAAAAAAAATGCTTTTCTTCAGAAACAGTCTTGATGAATTTGTATTTCTAGATTTAGTAATTTTGAGTTAGTTTTCATATTAATGAACTTTTAAGTTAACAGAATAGATGTTAACATGCTCCATCATTCTAGATGGACTGACACTTAAAATAAGCTCTGTGTATTATTTAACATTATTTTGTCTTTTTTTAACTGATACTTGTGTGTGAGCTTGTCTCTCAAGAGATAAAAACTTCACTAAATGTTACCATTAAGTAGTTTTAATTCATAATATTAAATGTTCTTTTAAACACAGATAACGTTGAGTAAATAAAACCGATGATTGTTGAGATATCTCCAACATGTTGTTATGGTTACTTTAACAAGATACGTTTGTGTATATATATACTTTACATATTTAAAAACAAAGTTGAACTTTGTTTGTGCTTGGTGAAAATTCATTAGGGCTAGAATGCTGATTTTAGCCTCCCATTTTTAACTCTGCAAGAGAGTTTGAATTTTTATATTGTAGGTGAAGACTGTTAGTGTTAGTAAGAACGAAGTAGACATGAGTTTGGTATTGTTCTTTAGTTGAAATAGATTTCATCTTATATGTCGTCAAGTTTCTTTACAAATTTACCATTTGATTAATTATGATGTTTTTTTATCTTGTAATTTAGAGTGTGCCCAGGTTTGTGACCTTTTAAATAAAATATTAAAAGTTAGTTGTTAAACAAAATACTACTACAATAGTTGTTATATAGTTTTATCAAATAACTTGTAGTATAAATATAGTTGTTTCTTTTCAAAAGCAATAACATTATGTAAGCTGTTCACGGAAATCTCATGGTATGTTTGTACTGTAGAAACAGAGGGTGGAAATTTAACCCTATAATTACCAGCAATTGTTCTAGATAAATATGTTGAGGAATTGGTCAAATGTTTGTTGTAATTTATCAAAATACCAACTGATGGATTAGCCTGTTTTTCTCCTTTAGAATATTTGGTGACAGTAATGCATCTTTTAAAACCAGTTATAATTTAAAAATTTTAACTCTGTACTTGAGTAGAAGGTATTTTTAATAAACTAACCAAAATGTATGTTGACAATAATTGATTAATCTTATGTTTCCAAGGTTGATAGAGCAAGGTACTGGTTATTTTTAGTTATAAAAAAAATTCCAATGTTTGAAAATTTTCATAATAATTGTAATCTGTTATCACAGAGAAACCAAGTTGCAAATGTTAAAGATATATTACTAAATGTAGAATTACTTTGTATTATGTTTATAATGGCTTTTGTAATTGGATTGTCCTTTCAAACAACTTTTAATAAGTAAGCTGTAGTCAAGAGCTTTACAACGTTGCTGAAAACACTGTGTATTATGAATATTAATGGGTTGAAGGATCTGTAACAACGTTTGTGTGAAATACTACTAGTAAATAACAGTGTGGATGTTGTGGGAACAACTAGGCATGTTTTTGTTATGTCTGTAATTTAGCTTACCAGATTTCATTGACTAACTAAGGGTTGTCTGCTTTTGGTTTCTTTACACTTTAACTTTTTAATGTAAGCATAACTAAATATATACTTACACAAATAAAAATAAAAGAACAAAATTCAGGTCCTTATGTTGATTGTTACTGTGTAATATGTTGTGTGAGATGCTCTGTAATATTAAACATGTTGAATTATGAAGTCTTGTGAAAATATTCACTTCATAGTTTTCAATCATTAGTTGAAAACGTGTGTTTTTATAAACCAAGTGATGGGGAAAACAATTAACAAATAATATTATTGGGTTACAGATTTTAAAAAAGTAACAACTAGAAAACAATGTGGTCCCCTGTGGTCATCTTAGATAGTTATTGAAATATGTTGAAACCCTTAATGAAAAATAGCATCTATTGTAACTAGTTTTACACTGGTAGGACTGTTTAAAAATCTTTGCACAAGGGGTGATGGACTATAGATAGGGAGCATTTTCAGTTTTTTCATGTTTCCATTTTGCCTGGAAAAGTGTAAATGTTTTCATCTTAATTTTTAATATCTTTTTCTATGTTAATATACATCAACTACATTTCTGGTCAGTTATTTAAGATAAACTTTGTGTAATTTGAAGTGTTATTCTGATGTGAAAAAAAAGAGCAAATAAAAACATATTGAAAAACATTTTGAGTAGCAACAACTAAGTTTTTTAAATGAAATGTTACAGAGTGTATTATTTGCTTACTAATTTCTTAGATCTACATTCTTCTCCAAAAACTAATTCTTTCTTTGAACCTTTTGTGCTTGTGTATACTTGAAAATCCTACTATACTTAAAGACTGGTTAAAGTTTTTACATTTTCAACAGAATTCTAAAGAAAAAAAAAAAACAATGTTTTAGTAAAGGTACAGAGGTATGTAAAATTTCCTGAAAAGCATTTATTAATTACAAGTTGTTTAATATCTGATCATTGAATATCCTTTCTACCAACTTGTGGATATCATTATTATAAGTACAAAAAAATACTGCCACACTCAACTGGGAGAAAGTCTTTATTTTCGTAACCTTTTAAAGCTGCCATACTGTATACAGAACTGAAATAAATAATGACACTATAAACCAACCAGTCATTTGATTCAAAATGTCAGTTTTATGTGATAAGGGTCTGCACGTTTTTTTCGGCTTTGTCTACGTTATTATGAACTGAATCCCCTATCCCAAATGGGCAAAAAGACATTAAAAAGCAACAAAAATTATCCATTGCATAAACTTGTTATGAGGCAATTAGACTTTACTTACAACACTAGAGAGAGTGTACTTCCTATAACACTTGTTGTCTGGCACAGTAATCCTCAGCTGTTGAGGAACAAAAAGAACAAGAGACAAAAACAGGAAAAAAAAAAATCACAACACATCAATGCCAGCGATGAAATTCAAGCTGCCACCAAGGGGAAGGAAAAGGCAGTTGTTCATCAACCATAACAAAAAAAGCTACTACTGTGACTGCCCAGCTATGGTGGTGCAGAGTGAATTACAGGTCGCTTTCCCCGTAAAGTGAGGTTGAGAAGGACATGTAATCCAAGGCTCCAGGCACAGCTCCAGGTCCTTTGTAAGGTGGCATTCTCTGAATACAGTAGTCTGCTTGATCCTGTGGAAGCTCTCTCTGTAGTTCATCAGGCATGATGTAAGGCTGAAAAGAAAGAAAGCTATTAAAAACAAGGCCTTCAAGTGGGTGTTATAGAGAAATAAGATCTTTCCTGATGTTTTTGTACTTTTGTTACTTTTTCATAAACTTTATTGTACATAACCAAGCTAAACAAAACAAGTAGCCCATTTAATAAAGCTAAGAAAAATTCTAACCTTGTCTCCAGCCAAGATACGGAAGGATTCAATAATTTGTTCCGCTGTGTCAGTATCCGAGCTTTCTTTCGTCATGAAATCCAAGAAGACTTCAAACTGCACTATGTTCGTATTATTGGGGTCAACAATATTCATAATTCTGCGGAACTCAGCTTCTCCCTAAAAATACAGAACATTCTCTATGAGGTTTGTGTGAATGTGTTCTATTATATTTATAGGGTACAGAACATTCTCTATGAAGTGTGTGTGAATGTATTCTATTATATTTATAGGGTACAGAACATTCTCTATGAAGTGTGTATGAATGTGTTCTAGTATACTTATAGGGTACAGAACATTCTCTATGAAGTGTGTGTGAATGTGTTCTATTATACTTACAGGGTACAGAACATTCTCTATGAGGTTTGTGTGAATGTGTACTATAATATTTATAGGGTACAGAACATTCTCTATGAGGTTTGTGTGAATGTGTTCTATTATATTTATAGGGTACAGAACATTCTCTATGAAGTGTGTGTGAATGTGTTCTATTATATTTATAGGGTACAGAACATTCTCTATGAAGTGTGTGTGAATGTGTTCTATTATACTTATAGGGTACAGAACATTCTCTATGAAGTGTGTATGAATGTGTTCTAGTATATACTTATAGGGTACAGAACATTCTCTATGAGGTTTGTGTGAATGTGTTTTATTATATTTATTGGGTACAGAACATTCTCTGTGAAGTGTGTATGAATGTGTTCTAGTATACTTATAGGGTACAGAACATTCTCTATGAAGTGTGTGTGAATGTGTTTTATTATATTTATAGGGTACAGAAAATTCTCTATAAAGAGTGTGAATGTATTATATTTATGCAGTATAGAACCTTCTCTGTAAAGTATGTGAATATGTTATATTTATAGGGTATAGAACATTTTGTTTAAAGTGTGTTTGATTATATTTACTCTTTACAGAATTTTGAATTTTTAGTAACACTTGCTCCAATGATGCACTAGTACGGTATTAATTAAACTAATAATTACCTGATTGTTCAGGTAAGAGAAGGGTATTAATATTAGGTATAAATCGTGGGTATTAATATTAGGTGTATGTCGATTTTTTTTAATATTGGTCACAAATAATCATAAACAGGTTAACTTTCTAAATCTTTGTTCAGAAGGAATTTGATATTTAATGTTAAGAAAGTTCTTAAGTAAAGAAAGCAAAACGAATATGAAATGGAACAGGCAACAGATATCATGCGTAATAAATGGTAAGCTCCTTACAGTCAGTTTAATCCTAGAGAGTGCTTACACGTATACTATTTGTGTCTAGTTGGGTCTTTAAAGGCTTCTACTTTAAAGGCTAATTACTACTCATTTTATTTACTTAATACAACACATGTTAGGATAAGAATTAATTTTTGTATATTAAAAATATATTCTTTATTTAAATAACAATAGAATACTATCAGATAATTCCAAACAATGATAATATGAGATCATTTTTAACTTTTTTCTTTACACTTTAAAGAGACTTACTTTAAAATCATACATTAATTACTGTATCCTATAACTTAATTTTCCTTTCTTTGTTGGTATAATGAATTATCATAATTCTAACAAAATGCAATAGTTGTTTTGATTTTACCTGTCTGTCATTCCTGATGTTAAATCCTAAGCTGACGAGACAAGATTTGAACTCTTCAGGAGTCAGCCGTCCTGATCTAGTCTTGTCAAAGTGGTTGAAGGAACTGCGACAGTCATTCAGCTGTTCTTGTGTGATTCCTTTAGAATCTCTGGTAAGGATCTGAAGCAGAAAAAGAAGTGTTAATATACTATTGCATGCCTTTGATATCACAAATTTTATGTGCTGGGGTTTGAGGGATGGACCAAAATACATTTCTCGTTACTATTATCTGAACTTTATATTCTGAAAGCTTTGTGGATGTTTCCTTTTCTTATTTCTGGTGAGAAAGATTATCTGTTTCTGACTAATTCTTGACTTATTCTGATTTCATCAGATTTATTTTTAGTTTACAACTTTAATAGTGCTTGAACTTAAGTTTTTGCTACAGCTTAGCCTATCATCATTAAAATGTTTTAGGGATAGAGCTTGTAAATTCACTCATATTTTTCATAATTGGGTTTTTTCATTGAAAAAATTCTTTCAATTCTGTGGAAAATTCTTCAGTATTTTTGCTAAAGACTATGAATTGAGAAGTTTTACAGAGTATCGTAAATTTTCACATCTATACTTTGATTCCTTAGGCTCAGTGTTTGCAATAATACCTGTCGTACCAGGTTGCTGGTACTGGTACTCAAGCATCTCTAATTACGTTACTTCAGCAGTTAGAAATTCAACTATTCTTCCCAGTGTGTTCCTGTGGGAAAATTGTTTTCACATCAAACCAAAGTGTCAATTATCTGTAAGCCCACGTGGTATGACGAATGTGGCAATGAATTGGTTGAAATCTAGGCTTTCTATTAGTTACAAATTTAATGGGAGTTGGCCCCAGAAAAATCTATTAGCAACTTGTAAGTTAGAGCATGTCAGAGGTAGGCATGGAAAGTGGTTTCTGAATTTTAACTGACTGCTGTTTTACACCATAAGATTGAAAAATATAAAAATATAGATGAAGAAATTATAGAGAAAGTTTTACGTTACATTTCGTAGACAAAAAAAATCCAGAAGAGGAGATGGCTCAAGAACAAATATCCAAATTATCACACTAGGGGAATTTGAGGTTGTTTTAAATATTTCATTATAGAATTAAAACTTATATAATATTAAAATTTGATTTATTATCTATGATTTGATGTCAAGTGTGTTCATATACCATGATAATTAAGTTGTTTAATTAAATTTTGAATGTAACTCAATAAAACATTGTGACATGCGCGGTTTGACCTGAAATACCAGAGGAAGCAATCGCTGTTCACATATTCCAAAGATGGGACATGTGATAACAGATATTATTCTCAACATACGATATACTATAAGCCAGTACCGGTACTGAAGGCCTGGTACTAGATGCCAAATACTGCTGGTACCGTTTGCAAACCCTGCTTGGGATGTTCTCTGGGGTAAAAGTAAATAGTTTTAGCATATTGACCACCAATGGTTTTACCTCATGTTAATTTAATCTCTGAGTAAGAATAGTTATAAAACAGTTGGGTGTATGATGTGACACTACATTACTGGCTAAGATATATTACTCTTATTGCTGTATCCAAGACTGTTATAACAATATAATAATTATTATTATTGAAATTTTGTGAGGCTTATTGCAGTTACATCTTACCTTTTATAGAATAGTTAACTTTAATTATTAACAATTTGAGCATTTGTGTAGAAAAAAGTGCTAAATGAAATAACGCAAGCAGTTAAGTGGGACGATTTTATAAAAAAAATCAGTTTTTTTCCATACATTGTATTAAAATGTTACTAAGCACTTGGCTTCCAGGTTGAATTAGTAATGACTTGATTGTTTATACATGTTGTTGTGTCATTGATTGGAGCTGTGATGTAGTTTCCAGAAAGTGCAGCTATTGATTTGAGTGATTTGACTAGCATTAAGACATAATTGTCTCTACAAACTACAGCCTTGTGTCTGATTAACTGGAGATGCATAAGAGGAGCCACAGCAAGCAGGGATTGTTGGTGACGGGTTTTCTCAACAAGTTTGGATGTATGTTGGGGTAGACTTTTGGCCCAATGGAGTGCTGAAGGCTAGTGTTTTTATGTTCTGTAGGTAAGACATACTATAGTCTTTCTTTGTAATTACTTTTATTATTAGAATTGATTAGAATATTTAATATATCTAGTTTTATTTTTGGTATTATACCTTCATTATAAAGATTTTTTTGCATTGTTAGCTTAGTATGTGTATTTAGGACTAACCCATATCTCCTAAGCTGGTTCAATCTTGTGAGATATTATTAAGTTTTTGGCCAAAAGTGTTGATAATAGTGAGGGTACCTAACAAATAAAACAATGGATTCTAATCTTTATTAGTAGCTTTGTAAGAAAAGTATATTTAATTAGCTATATTGAGGGCTAGGTTGACTTTTTGTTTATCTCCAAGTACAAAGCTTGCTCTGATGAGAAGTTGTTATTTTTATTCACGAAAACTGCTCTAATTTAGAGGAGTTGGATGAAACAAAAATAAATCATGCACCTGGTGTGTTTATTTTTCAGTAAACATCAACAAGAATACTCAATTATTGTTACTTGGAAGATCTCTGATATTTTAAAATAAATAACTGTGACAACCAATGAGAAACATAAAGCTTGATGGGTATTGTAGTGAAAATGATCTCATTGGCTAATGGTAGCAGCAAAAAAAAAGTAACAGAAATGTTTATGATAGGAGTAGAAATACTGAACTTTGAGATCTGGATATAAATCATATCTTAAAGGACTAAAACTACAGAGTTTAATTCTCACCTGGTTCTCAATTTCATTTGTTGTACGATGAATGGATGTCAACAGTTGTTCCCAGCCTACTCTTAACGTCTGTTAGAAACAAAGAAAATTAATAGTAAAACTTTCTCCATTCAAAAAAGGTGTAACGTATGAGTGACACTGAAAAAACAGAAACATGAAATATAGCAGAAACAAACAAGAACTAGAACCATAGACAATTAGAAGCATTAATTAAATATCACACTATGACTGAACAGGAAACTAGTAATATATGGCAGCAGTCAAAGCAACAATAAACTTTTAAAACAGAAATGATATTGTTATCCTTGCGTATAATAAAGACATTGATGTTTTCTGCTTTACAAAGCCAGTTATAGATGTATATATATATTTATAGTCATTCCAGCTTACATTAGGGGAACTGCTTGCATAAAGAACAATGTTAAGAAGAGATGTTCAAAGTTTAAAGTTCAAAGTTAAAAATAACCTCCTACCTCCATACTGTACTGAGTGTAGCGATTTTCATAAATCATGGCTTCTTGCACCTCCTATAAAGAAAGTAGAACAGACTAAGGGTTAAATATAAAACAACAACCTTTATACAAAAAAAGAAAGAAAGAAACCCTAACATCACAAGTTCATTAAATATAAAACTCAATGATAAGAGACTGGTGTATCCTTTGACATATTCGTAGTAGAACAAAAAACATTCTTTACAAAATAACGGAACACGATGGTATAATGTATTAAACTGAATTTTGTATACTATGAACTGTAAATTAAGTAGAAATGAAGAGTGAATTTTTTTTCTACATCTATAATTCTCATTTATTTTATTCAAACAATTAGCAGGTTAAACTGGTTTAAAGCAGGAACTTAATATCACCTGGTTGAACTTCTCGAGTTCATCGATGTGTGAACGGTATTGTACTACAGTCTGTTCCATCTGTTTCAATTTGTTCAACTGATCTTCTAGTGTACCTTGCATACCCATTCCAGCTGCTAAAACAGCATCAATCTGGTGTTCTATCCAAGGTCCAACAACATTAGCCTTCTCAGCGAACTTACGTCGCAAACGCTCATTAGCTAAAGTTCAAATTAAGGAATCAAACTAATAGCAAAATGTCATTTGTACTGTAGAAAGATGCAAAACCTTGGAAGCATACATGTATACACTTGTAAGTGAATAAGTCGGAAACTCTCTCTGTGCAGTGACATATGACAATTTACACTGAAACTTATTGTAACTGTTTTATGAACTCAATCATGCTAACGTTATTATGAAACAACATCAAAATACATACACGTCATCTACAAGGATCAAATAATTGTACCTATAGATAACGTCATAATGAAATCAGGCACTGTGTAGATAAAAGTATTATTATCATGGAAATAAAGCTTTAGTGTAGTGGGTGAGTGAGTAAAATGATAGCTTAGAATTTTCATTCTCTAATATCTAATAAATGACATACATATTTAATCATCACAAATGATTAAAAGTAAGCTGGAAGCTATAGTTTGCAGATAGTAAAATACCAACTGGAATAAAGTCAACAAAAATCTCATACGTAACAGAGGTTTTATATGTGGCTCAAGTATAAACTGTTAGGCTACATTATTTACTTTTTTAAATATAAAACCTGTTATAATCACCATAATATTAGTAACAGCCAGTGGTGTATGTCCAAGCCAAAGGGGGTCTGATTCATAACAACAGTTATAGAGAAATAAATGTAGGGGGCCCAATTTCTTTTTATGCAGGGGGTCCATCGTTTGTAGTTACACCACTGATAACAGTAGTGTATAGGTAACATTTTATGTCTTATTTATTTATGCAAGATATAATTATAACACAGTGCAGAACTTAGTAAGAATTTAACAAAAGAAAAACTATCTCTTGTCTACTGTGTATTAAAAGATGATTATTTTATTTCATTGAATTTATGGTGCCATTTAGCCTTTTAAGATATAATTAATTATAACACAAAATGAAAAAGGATACATTGTTGACGCATCATCTCTGTCTGGAGTATTTGGTCTCGTTTAGGAACCAGCTGTTTAACTTCTCCCCATTTGTTGGTAATCGTCTAGGATATTAGCAAAATTTTAACATGATTAGAAAGTTTTTGAAATTCTTAATATTTATAAAATAAACGTAGATGTGAAAATATTGATTAAATTAATTGAGTATTTGTTGCATTTTTCAAAACATTCTTATTAGAGTAATCAGCAAGAAAATTCAAATATTTTACTTCGCTTCAATATGTAGAATTATATCTTTAGGATACAATGTAACAGGAGAAAGGTATTAAGGTTTGTTAAATAAAGCTATCTACACTAGCTATTTCCAATTTTGAAGTGACAGATCAGAGCAGTGTTTCTCAACCTTTTGCACCTCAAGACCCATTGAAGTATTTTGCACAACAGTAAAGGCCCAAACATGCAGATGATGACTTGTGAGCTTAGAACAGTAAGAACTGTCCTGGTTCACGGTGGCCCATACCTGCACGTTTCACCACTTTTGAATCACTGGACTAGAGGAAGACAGTTAGTTAACAGCACCCACTGCTAACTCTTGGGCTACTCTGTGGTTGGACTGTCACTCTTATGATGCACACAAGGCCCCTAAAATGGAGCCTTAATTTTGTAACAACAGTACAAAAAAGGCAGACCCTTGGATCTACAGTTTAGGCAAGCTAACAACTGTGCCACACCCGTACAAAAGTTATTTATGAAAATATGAATATTTCTAGTTAATTATGAAATTATTTACAAGTAAACAGAGCTTGTCAGTTATTTTATTCTACACCACCATTTAAACATAAGATAAATTATAAAGTAAGCTACTTAACTGACTACTTACAGTTGAAGTAATAGTTGTGTATGGGTTCTCAATGCCACCTGGGATTTGATATTGTGTAGCAATGGTTTGCACCTCCTGAGACAAGGCAATGATAGCCTTGTGTTCCTTGTCAGCTTCACCAAGTGTCTGTTTAAACTGTTCGTGAGCGTCGATTAAAGCCTGGAATTATAAGAAGTAAAGCTGTCTAATTGGTTCTGACTCTAACATGAAGTAAATTATCTAACTGAAATAACACCCGAAAACATGTTGGATTAAAAAGTAGTCAGTCGCAGTTAAAGAAA